ATCAATACTTTTGTTATTAAAAAATTTCAAACTTAAAAGATGTAAAAATGCTTATAGGAAAGTAATTAAGAACTGCCCTCCAAACAATAGTATCTTGTTACCATAATTTATGTGACTAAATTAAACTCAAATTACTAATTACGATTTAATTTCAGTTCATGTGTTACCAGAGTTTATGTACTGCATTGTTGGTATATTTTCTTATTCTAAAAATTTAAATAAGTGGAGGTAATTTTTTTTATTAGTCTTTTGGTATTTATAAATCATATTAAATTTTAATTAATTTATAATTGAACTGTTTTAAATTTTATAAGTTTTTTTTTTTCAGTATCTAATTCTCTATTTACAAAATTTAAATTCAAAATTTTATTTAAAAAAAATTAAAAATTTTCAAGTCAAACCAATAAACCATTAATAATAAATAAAAGTAATTAAACTAGTTCACTGACATAGTTACTTGTTTACGTACAACTAATGCACTCAATTATTTTACGTACCCGTAGAAGGGTTTGTACTTGAGTCATTTGTTCAGAGTCTTCAAACCAATTAAGTCAAAGAATTAAATTAGGTAGTAGCATTTTCGAGATATTTCTAGTGCATTTCCTCTAGCCTTCCTTCCAAAATTAAAAAAGTATATTTTCAATGTTTAGGAGGAGCAAAATGGAATGGAAAATGCTGAGAAACAACTTACTAGTGTGAAGGAAGATGCTGGGAAGCAAGAGCAAGATGCTTCCACGCCACGAACGCGGTTTCACCATTTTAATCAACCACAAGCAGACGGGGCAGAGGCAGAAGATTTCTCGGAACCCGTGTCTGAATTCTTAGGCATGAAGATTTCTCCTCAACAATTTGGGTTTAAAATTCAAACATTATTTTGTTATTAAAAATTAAAAATTAAAAATTTAATTAAAATATGTATAAAACTAATTTTTTTGAAAAAATATTATAATAAATAAATATTTTACAAGATAAATTATATATTAAAAATGTAATTTAATTCATAAATTTATTAAAATATTTTTAATAAAATATTTTTTTATATTATGTATTTAAAAATATTTTAAAAATTTATAAATTAAATTACATTTTAATTATATCATAAGAACTGCAATACATGAATCGTATATTTCAAAACAAAATAGTGAGGGGGAAATAGTAAGAACGGCAACAAAATAAGCAACTCCGGTACGACATATCACATCACAACCTATATTTATTGTATTTTCTATAATTAATTTATATAAAAATATAAAAATTAATTGTATTTTTTAATATTAATGCGATGTGATTGATTTTACAAATCCCTACTTGCATTTTAGACTTTACAAAGTATTTGTATTGACTTGAACCAGGACTGAGTCAAAGTTTAGATAATGTTTTCTCAAAAAAAATCCTTAGCCTGCCTTTACCATATAAGTTTGGTTATTAGGCTCGTGTCACTTATTTTGTTTTAAAATAAGAAAAAAATTTTTTTTAGATAACCTTTCTTTCTTTCAACGGTTCACCTTCAAAAAAAGATAGTTGAAAAGAATGTCTGTGAAATAAATTGGGTTCTAGACGATGTTACAAGACAGAGGGTAAAATTCTATAAAATGAGTTACTAATTATCTTGGAAACCTCCGAGGACTTCACAACCAAACAAGTGTAATAAAAGTTACAAATATTAAAATAAATGTAATATACTAAAACAATTAAACTAACATAAAGTAAATAACAAAAAATAACATACCATAAAGATTAAATTCGCAGACAACAAAAAAAGTGAAATAACAGACAATTATTTCAACTACATAACTCATAATGATAAAATTAATTACTAGCAGAATTAAAATAAAAATAGCTAAACTACTTGATAACTAAAAACTAAAGAAGAAACTATGAAATGATTAAAGTCTGAAAACTTATAAAATTAAATTTGAAAATTGAAATTAAATAAACTGCATGTCTGGATATTGTGTAGAGACAAAAGAACAAAGGTAGAAAACATTCGACATATTTACATGAATGAATAACATAAATAAATCCATAAAAAGAAAAAGAACTAACCGAATCAAAAGGACAGACCTGTTTTGAAGGTTAAGTTGCTTCTAAATACTTAAAAATTAATCTAAATTGAAATTTACGAAAGAAAATATGAATAAAGATGAACAAGCCTAGGCTAAGACTATGAACTAATCTAGAAAATCTGGAAACTATTGTTGAAATTTGAAAAATACAGTCTGAAAACTGAAAAATATACTCTGGGCAGTGTGTGTGTTGGGCGGGCCTCCTGAACTCTTCACTTCTCCATGTTTTTGTTCTGTGTTGGGGACTTTCTCCATGATTTTCAGTATTGTTCCTCCATGATCTGGTAGTGGGGTTACAGGTCTGGCAGTTACTTGACAGTTATCTAATAATTTTTATTTAACTTTGTCTCCAACAACTTTAGATAATTACTTAAAAACCCTTAATTTCTCATTTTAAATTAAACTCAAACTACCAGATCCAATCTTATCTTTTACCACCTAAGCTTCAACCTACTTGAAAATCTATCTGGGCCATTAAATTGTAAGTCAGCTCAACCCAAATCTAACCTATTGATTTTTTTGATAATTGAGTTTTATCTTGACACGTGACTTTACGCTATTGATTGATTTATTTTAGGTGTAAACAGATCATATGTGAATGGAACACATTTCCACTCTCCAACCAACACTTCCATTTCATTGGGCCACGTTATGTTGGTCGGGAGAGGTAATCATTTCATAGCGGAAGCAAGCTTACGTGGGCCAATAAAAAAACATGTGTAGCCCATAAAAAAGCACTGTTTTTTTAATAAAAAATATA